TATGCATAAAGCCATAGTTAAAACATTTTCATTTTTGGAGGTCATTTAGGTCATTAGAGGTCGAAAGAGGTCATTAGAAGGTCAAACACTGAATTTGTTGCTGCTACTGTATTCCCTGGGTTCCTAGCTTTCGTTTGATATGCATAAAGCCATAGTTGAAATATTTTCTATTTGTGGAGGTCATTAAAATTCAATTTGATTTTATTTTAGGAATTTCGATCACTTATTAGGCGTGCACCTAAAAAAATTGGAAGATTTGTACCAAAAATGGAGGAGGGGCCCCCCCCCCCCTTACTTCAAATGTGCCAACTCCACCATTCCCTTTTAAGAAGAACCCAAAGTTTGAACAAAAGTTTTTAGTCGTCAATCTTCACTGAAGTCTCATCTTTTGAGGTTATCCCTTTACTCAATATGCATACCTCATCTAGTAACTTTATATATTTCGTCTCTACCAATAATGCCTGAACACCATCATCAAATATTAAAAATGGATTTAACAAAAATAAGGTCATGAAGTAATAAGTCAATGATAGTTTTAAGGAAAAAAGTAATTTTGGATTTAAGAATGTAATTTTTTGAGTGGGGAGGGGAAAGACAACAAATATTTTTAAGTATGTATATTGAATAGCCAATTGTTCCCTATTGTTTCCTATACTAAAACGAGATGAAATAAATAGAATGGCAGGGAAAGCCAAAAATCATGCGCAAAACGTCACAAAAACATCTAACAGAAAGGATGTTCAATATTATCCGACTGAAGTATTAATTGATGTTCCTTAGTTTCTAGATTTAAAATATCCTTGTATGATGGTTCCTGTATTCATTAGAAACAGGATATATATTGAGAGTAAGAAACAGGATACAGATTGGGAGTAAGAAACAGGATACAGATTGGGAGTAAGAAACAGGATTGAGATTAGGAGTAAGAAACAGGATATAGATTGAGAGTAAGAAACAGGATACAGATTGGGAGTAAGAAACAGAAAACAGATTTGGAGTAAGAAACAGAATACAGATTGGGAGTAAGAAACAGAATACAGATTGGGAGTAAACAGGATTGAGATTAGGAGTAAGAAGCAGGATATAGATTGAGAGTAAGAAACAGGATACAGATTGGGAGTAAGAAACAGAAAACAGATTGGGAGTAAGAAACAGAAAACAGATTGGGAGTAAGAAATAGGATACAGATTGAGAATAAGAAACAGAATACAGATTGGGAGTAAGAGACAGGATTGAGATTAGGAGTAAGAAACAGGATTGAGATTAAGAGTAAGAAACACGATAAAGATTGGGAGTAAGAAATAGGATACAGATTGGGAACAAGAAACAGGATACAGATTGGAAGTCAGAAAAAAGGATTAAGATTAGCTGTAAGAAACAGGATAAAGATTAGGAGTATGAGACAGATTACAGATTGTGAGTAGGAAACAGAATAAGGTTTGTGAATAAGAAACAGAAGCAAAATTGTGAGTAAGAAACAGAGAATAGATTTAGAATTAGAAACAGAACAAAGATTAGGAGTAAGAAAATGAGGCTAGATTGAAAGAAAAAAAAAGAAAAAAAATGCAAGTAAGAAAATGAGGGTGGGGAGTGAGAAACAGATAAAAAAATATTTGCACAAGCAATAGGAATAAGAATAGGAATAAAATAAAAGGAAATCAGGAAGATAAACTTATTAAACGATGAGAACCCATTTTCAGGATAAAAGGAAATATTTGAAGTAAGTGAAAAAATCAGGAACGGACAGCTGGTATCGACTAAATAGAGAAAAATTAAGCAGGAAAAGTAGCAAGAAATGTGCATGACTAGGAACATATCTATGGATAGAAACAGTAAAATAAGGATTAACGAGAAAATAATGCACACAGAAACAGCCACAGGAATATCTTATAGATAAATCGGCCAAATAAGAGAAGAACAAAAAACAACACAAATATATGAATAGAAATAAACAAAAATGAAGAAATGGACATCATTTGATTAATTGATTGAATGATTGATAAACGAATTCCTGCGCCGGATCATATTTCTTCCCCAGCAGCATGATTTTGCTTCCGCTACAGATACCAGACTAAAATAAGAAAATGAGAGGTCGTCTTCTTGAGATACGATTGTTACACCTTTGTAGAACATTGTGACACAAGATGCGACAAAATCTGCTCCATATGGCCGTTTACTCTACTCTTAATTACTCGTAAATACAATGATATGCATTATTTGCTTCAGAAATATTGGAGAAATTATCAGAATTAAATACTTCAAGCTAGAAAAACAACGTTATCTTCCCCACTGTTGATCAGATTAATATTTCAAGGGTACACAGTTGTGAATTGAGCATGCCCTTCTCTAAGTGGAGGGTCCCTTAAAAAATTTACAAAATAGGATACCAAGTAAAGACCAAAGGCAACATAATAATTCTCATAATTTTCTTTGTCCTTGAAAAACTTATTTGAAAGATAAAACTCTAAGGGACTATAAACGTATTTTCAAGTGAGCCTCTATTTATAGAGTTCTTTGTCTGATTCACAAAATTAACCTTGTCTAGTGTACATACCTGTACAGTGTACAAACCTGAGAATTACAATGAAAGCCTTACCTGAGAAATAGTTTGTGTCGAGTCCTTGGAAATCTGCTTCCCATTGAAAATTATTCTCATGGATTTTATTGGAACCCCAGTCTCAGAGTTGAGTTTAGTAAATAGTTCGTCTATTTACACAGGAGTCAGCATAAAAAGGTTTATAACAGTACATTGTACAATTTATTTTAAAACAATTAGTTACAACATTAAATACACTAAGTTTTAACACAAGAAGAATGTAATTCTAACCTAACAATTGTCAAATTTCCATAATAGTTCGTTAACAAGATCAAATCCTACCTCCACTTTATACTTGTACATTTAAACAGTTTGGTTTGAATCTTCATAAACAATCTTAAATAATAATAATTATCTTAAAACATTCTTTAAAAAGTGAAATTTGACAATTATTTTTTGCAAATCGTGATCTAAGTTCCTTTCCTTTTCTCAATCTAATGACCTTTAAAAAAATGTTTTTTGTTAATTTTCTTATGATTTTTAGACATTTCTTTTTGTTTGCCATTAATTTTGATGGTTTTAGAACTGACGAGGGTCAACCCTAACAACAAAAATAATCAGAAAATGTGTTATCATCACCCATTTTATTCAATGTATCATTAACAAAAAAAACTAAAAAATAGGAAGACAACTTTTAGACTCAAGTATTGATTTTAAATAAATAGACCAATGAAGATTTTGAATATGCATTACGGCTTTTGTAAACAGACCCATTTCACTTCATGATTTTTGAACAACTATATAATTAACTTGTAAAAACCATTAGATACAGATGCTGTGTGTGAAAAAGGTAAAAAATGACACAAATGTCGATTTTTTTTTATATTTTCCAGACAAGAATTGCACAACTTTTCCGTTAATTTGCCTTTTTTCTCCAAACTTCAGCAAACAAAACGATAGCAATAAAAATTAGTGATAATTTGACAGTTCCACTTTTAATTTTCTATTCGAAGCATAAATTATCAATAAATGAAAATTGTTAATGAATATTCACAATTAGGTACTTGCTCTTCATATCTACCACATGATCATTTTTTAAATTTTGTTTAAAATTGATGCCGATTTTCCTCCCTGTCGTGGCATCTTGCGTTAGGTTAACGTTGTATGATTTCCCATTATGCTTTACAACAACATCCACCATTTTATCTGAAAAATCAACATTTCAAAAATTTCTGAAAATACACTATTTTCCAAGAAATCCAAAAATCATTATTCAAAAAACAAAAAAGAACATAATTTTATTTGTAATTTATGTCATACAATCACAAAAAAGAAAAGGCGACCATTAATAATAATAAGGGATTGTACAATAACAAGGACATAACACGAGGTTTTAAGGTGTAACAATTTAATGCGATAATATTAAACTTTAAGACCCAATCCGTTCAAACTTTAGTTCGCAGCAATCTTGTTGTTCTTGTCTTTACTCTTGATGAACACTCTTGTTGGCAGTCTTACTGAACGAGACACACAAACCGTTAGTGTTCTTAAACTGAAAAAATTAAAATTAAAACATACTTTTATAAACATTTTTAGATCAGAAATATTTAGTGTGAAACCCCGTGAAGACATTATTGTTAGAAATGCTTTGTTCGAAATTACAAGTTTGACGACGACAAGAAATATTTGTGTAACTTTTCAATCGGAAAACTTAATAAATAATTTCATAAAAAGTGCATCTGCATACAGGGTTACCCACAAAGAAAAATATTCAGAGACGACTGTACGGAATTTATACGGACTGCTTCTTTATATTCACGATTCTCTGACACTACAAAATTGTTTCTTTATTTAAAGCAGAATACTTAATTTGATCTCGTCCTCATCATATAAGTTTCAGGTCGTCTTTAAAGTCTCATCCTTTGTGGTTAACTCTGTACGTTAAAAAATACAAATCTCGTAAAGAAGGATTGAGATTTATAATGTAACCAGTTTCTGAACACTCATTCTCCTAATACGTCTCAGTTAAATATAAACAATGAATTTTCCCCATCGTTAGTTCGGTCCTCATTGAAAAGTCAAAATTTTCATTTGAATAAAACAATATCTTAATTAAAAAGGTGGTACTGGAAAATACTTATACATGCAATTTTGAAATTTGATCGATGATGGCAATACAGTTGGACTTTAAGTTTGCACTAAAATTGGTGCAAATTTAAAATGTTCTTTCTTTACTTCCTTTAATAATGTTTTTTTTGTCATGTCCTTTACACTAAAAACGGATTAAAACTAAGTCACACTTGACATCAATGACCTAATATATAATTACTTTTATATCTCCATGCCAACTTTTTTACTTGATATGCCAGCGTTAGGCTTAGATCCCCCTTAGGGGGGATCGTGATGGCAAACCCCTGCTAGGCTAGGGAGCTGCTGGACAATCCCTAGCTTCTTGATTTGAAATATTTAATCTAATTGAAACTTAAAATTATTCTATTACAAACAAGATACAAAAGTACGGATTTATAAATATCAACAAAAGTTTTTTCCCCCTCGCAGTTCCTACGTCGGCATGGAATCCCAAGATGTATTCTTTGTCTTGTTTGTATTTAATGTACAGGGTTACCCACACAGGATGAGACTTAATTGGCTGACGACCTGTTTAAATATAGCGCCCTAGAGGTAAAATGACATATTAAGTTGCAAGTTTGCAGGAAACTATGAACCAAAGAAACAAATTCTGTACAATCGTCTCTGAAGTCTCATTCTTTGTGGGTAACCCTGTATATTGAATAACATTAAGTATGCATTATTTTGTATTTATATAGAGTGGTTTGTTAAACAGGCGTGAATATGGCTGACGTTTTGATGGAAACCTTTCAATTCACAATATAAATACTTTATATGCTAGTATATACAGGGTGTCCGCCTAAAAGATAACAACTCAAAACTAGTTTTAGAAGATAAAAAGCTAGTTAACAATAGAAGTAAAAATTAAAAAGAATTCACGACTTTTAACCCTATCTCTGCTGGGGTACTTGAAAACCAGGGGGGGTCAAATTGATCCCCCCCCTCTAAATCCCATGTTTGATGTCCAAATATGACAAATGATACATCATTGGAAAGCTCTTGTGCTCTACTTTTAGAATCTGCAAAAAAATTTGCAAATTTGCAGAAATAGAATTTTTTAACACAACAAATTGAAAATAATACCCCTTTTGTTATCAAATAGTTTTCAAAAGTCAAAGAAAATCAAAATGTTGTCCTTCTATTGTCATGTTATACTAAGACACTCTGTTCATACGAGACATACCAAGAAGAAAAAAACAATATAAGCATTGAGAACAATGAAAACGATATAAAAACAAATATGAATATTCAGAAAACCTAAGTCTTAACTTTTGGGTTGTGAATCTAAGGATCGAGCATTCATCTCCGTCTCATGAAGATTATCAAAATAAAAAAAATTAAAATATTACCCCTGCCCTACCAACAACATCATACCCCTGCCCTACCAACAACATTATACCCCTGCCCTACCAACAACATTATACCCCTGCCCTACCAACAACATTATACCCCTGCCCTACCAACAACATTATACCCCTGCCCTACCAACAACATTATACCCCTGCCCTACCAACAACATTATACCCCTGCCCTACCAACAACATTATACCCCTGCCCTACCAACAACATTATACCCCTGCCCTACCAACAACATTATACCCCTGCCCTACCAACAACATTATACCCCTGCCCTACCAACAACATTATACCCCTGCCCTACCAACAACATTATACCCCTTTCCTACCAACAACATTATACCCCTGTCCTACCAACAACATTATACCCCTGCCCTACAAACAACATTATATCCCTTCCTTACCAAGAATATTATAACCCTGCTCTACTAGGAAAATTAAAACCCTGCTCTACTAAGAATATTATACCCCTGCCCTTCCAAGAACATTATACCCCTGCCCTTACAAGAATATTATAACCCTGCTCTACTAAGAGCATTATACCCCTGCTCAACCAAGAATATTATACCCCTGCTCTACCAGGAGTATTATACCCCTGCTCTACCAGGAGTATTATAACACTGCTCTACAAAGAATATTATACCCCTGATCTACCAAGAATATTATACCCCTGCTCTTCCAAGAATATAATACACCTCTATTATTATGTTCTCTGAAGAATTATTGTTTATTGTTTTATTGGTTCTGACGAGATTACAAATTATACCCTTAGGACGATCAGAGCTTTTCAGATAAAAGAATAGATGGATAAATAGATTGAGTAAATAGATAGACATGGATTAATAGTTAGATATATCACGTACCTCTGCTTCTTTAGTAAAAGTAAATTCAACATATATGAAGCATAAAGTCTGACCACGTCAACGTCATGCTAGGTACAGTACAAACTAGGACCGGAAGGTTGACCCGGCTCGGAAATTCAAATGTACTACGGCTGGACGTGATATATCTATTTTATATCAATAGATTTACATGGCTCATGGATCTCAGGAAAAGGACTTGAACCCCCCCCCCCACCCCCCACCCCAGATAAAGAACACAGATCCAAATAAATGGATAGATAACTAGATGCACCGATTTTCAATATAATCATAACTAAAAGAAACCCGTCGTTCAATGACATAGATATTTTCTATTCAATAAATAGTTAGTTACACTTACATAGGTAATTAGATAGACAAACAAAAGAAGTCAGGGATAAAAGGAATAAATCAAAAATACAAAAATCTGCGAACATTTAATTACAAAACACACTTTGTAGACAAACAGACAGATAGATAGATATATAAACTAAATATACTAAATATGAAAAGAAAGATAAGATGGCTACCTTTAAATCGTCAGGAGCATAATTATGCATTGCTGCCAAGGCCATCAACGCTTCATCCGCTCTAAAATGTAAATTTTTATCTGAATATTCTAAAATGTATGTTTCTATCTGAATATTCTAAAATGTATGTTTTTATCTTAACATTCTAAAATGTATGATTCTATCCGAATATTCTAAAATGTATGTTTTATCTGAATCTTCTAAAATGTATGTTTCTATCTGAACCTTCTAAAATGTAAATTTTTATCTGATTATTCTAAAATGTATGTTTTTATCTGAATATTCTAAAATGTATGTTTTTATCTGAATATTCTAAAATGTATGTTTTTATCTGATTATTCTAAAATGTATTTTTTATCTGATTATTCTAAAATGTAGTTTTTATCTGATTATTCTAAAAAGTATGTTTTTATATGATTATCCTTAAATGTATGTTTTTATCTGAATCTTCTAAAATGTATGTTTTTATATGATTATCCTAAAATGTAAATTTTTATCTGAATATTCTTAAATGCATGTTTTTGTATGATTATTCTAAAATGTATGTTTCTATCTGAAAATTCTAAAATGTATGTTATATCTGAATCTTCTAAAATGTATGTTTTTATCCGAATATTCTAAAATGTATGTTTTTATCTGAACCTTCTAAAATGTATTTTTTTATTTGAACCTTCTAAAATGTATGTTTTTATCTGATTATTCTAAAATGTATGTTTTATCTGATTATTCTAAAATGAATGTTTTTATCCGATTATTCTAAAATATATGTTTCTATCTGAACCTTCTAAAATGTAAAGTTTTATCTGAATATTCTAAAATGTATGTTTTATCTGATTATTCTAAAATGTATGTTTTATCTGATTATTCTAAAATGTATGTTTTTATCCGATTATTCTAAAATATATGTTTCTATCTGAACCTTCTAAAATGTAAATTTTTATCTGAATATTCT